GACCATGACCCTAGCCACCCCCTGCCAAAGTCAAGGTCCCCAGGCTGATGCCTTCCCTGTAGCCTCCCTTTCCCTTGAAGTGTTCTAAAGGGATTCGGCCATCGTTATGGTCCTTCTTGTGGGATTTACAGGCCCTCCATGGTGGGCGCCTTTCCTGCTCTCAGTCTCTATCTGTGTTCATCTAGACCATACAGGAAATGAAAGCACCAGGGCATTTGTAATAAATAGCTCAGGCCCCAGGCCCTGGGACCCATGAGTGTCTGCAAAAAGGAATGATTCAGGGCCTCTTTTTTTCAAGTACAGTCTCATATCAGACTGGGGCCACAAAGGAACTTGGATTATTTCCATCTCAGACTGTGTGAAAGGTGAGGATGAGCAGGTAGGATGCACAGAAGGTGGTGAACTAGGGGAGAGATGGGTGCAGGAGCCCCATCTCCTAGGAAAGACCCAAGAGTGAGGTCGGGAGTTCCCCCACGGCCTCAGGGGGGCCACCCAACCTCCCTGAGCCTCAGTTTCCTCAACTGTCAAATGGAGATGGTAACAGTCCCTACCAGGTTAGGTTATTATGAAAATCAGGTGAGTTAAAATGCATACTGCATCACTTCAGAGAAGGCTGATCCAGGTGACCTGCTTCCACAAGTAGGTATGCAGAAAGGATCCTTTTCAAGACAGGCATTGGGGCCTGTTCTGGGTTGAAATGTGTCCTACTCTGCTAAATCTTAATCCCAATATCTCAAAATGTGACCTTATTTGGAAATAGGGTCACTACAGATGTAATTAGTTAGATGAAGTCACACTGGAGTAGGGTGGGCCCCTAATCCAATATGACCAGTGTTCTTACGAGAAGACAGATGGCCATATGAAGACAGAGACACAGGGAGAATGCCAAGCGAAGACAAGGATTAGAGTGACATCAAAGATTGCCAGCAAACCACCAAAAACTAAGAAGAGGCCAGGAAGGATTCTTGTACAGACTACAGAGGGAGCACAATCCTGTTGACACCTTGATCTTGGACTTCTAGCCTCCAGAATGACGAGACAATCAACTTCTTTTGTTTTAAGCCACCCACTTTGGCTCTAGGAAACGAACACAGGGCCAACAGGAAGGATCAGGGTTAACGGGAAATGCCTTTGGCTTCTCCAGCTTCTGTTATTTCTCTGCTTTTCCCCAGTGCCTGGCCTTCAAGACCCTCTGACAGATATCCTCCACCCGTCATTGCCAGGTCCCTGACTTGCTCTCTGTGCCCATCCTTGGAGCCCGTCACTGAGCTTCAGGCTTCCTCTGCCCTCTACCAGCTATCTCTGGATAGGCAGTGGGGCTGGGGTGGGGCTGAACATGGTAAGGCATTTTCTCCTGTTCTCAGTAAGCCACTGGGTTAAGGTTGGGGGCAGCACTGGGGCCCCAGTTGTTGGCAGTTTTCTCAAGGCTGTAGAATTCTTAGCACTTCTCGTGTACCAATTTCCTAGGCTACAGGAAAAGCCCCACTCACGACCCTGGTACTCCGGATTTGCAAGCTCAGCTGTCAATAAGCTCCAAGCCACCAAATGACCCTTGTCCAGCCCCAGCCTGCACCATCAGGCCTCCTGGCATTTACCCAGTCAGTTCCTTTTGCCTACAATGACCTAATGACACATCCCTCCTGCAGAAATATTCTGGGGTCATCTCCTATAAAAAGTTCCCCCTTCCCCAGCTGAGTTGAATGAATTAATAAGTGAATGAATGCAAAGCTAATACAGTCTCAGATCCACCAAGGAAGGACAATGTGAGGTCCTGGAGCTAGGCTGCCTGGGTTCAAATCCTGGGACTAAGACTAGCTGTGTGACTTTGGACAAGTTACTTCTCTCTGTCTCAGTTTCCTCATCTACAAAATAAGAATAATAATAGCACCTGCCCGTGAAGTTGCTTTGGGGATTCAGTGGGTTAATACCAATGACAGATTTGGTGCCTGATGCCAATAAAGTTGAGCTCCTTTGTCATCCAGGGCAAGAGTCTCGGTATCTTCATGCCTCAGCCTGTGCCTGTGCTTCGAACCTAATTTCCTTACTTAGGTCCAACCTAATCTTTTTTCACACATTGGACTCAGCTAATTCACCCACTGCTGAGTAATTTATTATATCAGAGACAGAGTCCTGGAGACGGAACAAAGGTTGAGCTGCTGCAGGCTGGATGCCTGGGGGAAGAGACACATTTTTAGTTTGAGGAAACAGGATATGTAGAAAAATTGTTCATGTGGCAAAAGGGAGCCCAGACAAAATCAAACCTCTTGACTTAACCCCTGATTAAAGCATTACGATAGCAGCACAGGCTACAGCCTGCAATCATGTTGCTATGAGCCTTCATGCTGGAAAATGACTGACTGCAGGGCCCCCTTTAAAAATCAGAGCATGGTTTGGTAGCCATGCTCACAGGGAAATAATTGCTGCGTGTTTCAGAAGATCTCCTCTTTCCCCTTTTATGTAAAGCACCTAGGAGATTTGACAGACAATTAAAACTCAATAAGAGATAAGAAGGAAGAAGATAATGGATCTCCCATCAGTCCCACCACCTTGGGACTCAGCAGGGGTGGGGACAAACTGGAGCTCAAAACACTGAAAATATGCAGCGTCATACCACAGGCTGTCATCAAGCGCACGCCTTCTGCTGCGAGAAAACTGGCGCTAAGCAAAACTTGTGTATCCCCCAAGTGATGCATGCACAGCACTTTTCAGCTTGCAAACCATTTCCACTCTCTTTATCTCAAACATCCTGTGTGCCCAACTGAGTACGACAACTGAGGCTCAGTGGAGCCATGTGATGGTCTCAAGGTAACTTGAGGGGCACAGCTGGGACTGGGGTCCCAGTCTTCTTAGAGGAAATCCTATGCTTTCACCAGACTAGGGTATCCCTGCTCTCCTCTTTCTTCCATAACATACCCAGGTGTATTTGTGATACATTGGCCTGAGATTTGATGTAGAAGATGACACCATAGGAAGACAGTGTGGCCTGGCAAAGAACATAAGAGCTGTGCCCTTGATTTGAGCACTTGGTAGAGGCAGGCAATTCCAGATACACCCAAATGTTTGAAAAGGATCAAAGGAAGAGGAGAATTTGAGAAACGGGATAGCTGAAAACTCATTGGTGTGCCAGGAAGGCATTCTGGTTAATCCAAGATTAAGCTTTCTGTACTTCTCCAGACCTTGATGTGTTAGAGGGCTGGGGGGAATAAAGGAGACTCATTGGCTTTTTCTGAGTAATTTAAATGGCTTGGAAGGTGATTTAAAATCAGCTGGCTATCCACTCTAGTGAGAGCTTCTGATAAGGGTGATGGTACAAACCTACCTAACGAAAATGGAGGTGACAACAAGGACACTGACAGGCGTTACACAGAGAAAGCTAAGCTCTTGAAGTCTTCTGGGGGCATCCATGAACAAGTGAAATTACTTTCTAGCTGCCCAAGATCAGAACGCTCTGACTGGTCTTACTACCAGAGTCCTGCTAGGAAAGTAAACCAAAGTTCATGGTTTCTAATCTGTTTAGGGCTCTTCCTTCTCCCCATTTTCTTTTATATAATCCTCTTCTAGCCTTTTTTAGATGAAGTCAAGATATAAGGGTTCTTCTCTTTACAAGTAAATAGCGTGCGAATAATTAACTCAATGCCTGAGTTACTCTTTGACTCTAGGTTCCATCACTTGCTAGCTGCAAATGCCCTTTGGGGCCTCATTTTTCTCCACTGTAAAATGGAGAAAATAGCTCCCACCTCTGAGGTCACTGCAAAGATGAAAAGAGATCATCCATGAAGAGCTGCACCCATGCCTGACATGTAGTAATGCTACTGCTATAATCATTATCATTTGTATCAGTTTCCTATTGCTGTAATACAGTACAACAAACTTAGCAGTTTAAAACAACACAAACTTATTCTCTTATAGTTCTGGAGGTAGAAAGTCTGAAATGAGCCTTACAAGGTTAAAATGTAGGTTTCAGCAGTGCTGTGTTCCTCTGGAGGCTCTATAGGAGGATTGATTTATTTGTTTCTTTCAGCTTCTAGAGGCTGCTTATATTCCTTGGCACGTGGTCCCATCATCCTTCTTCAAAGCCCACAGTGTAGCATCTTCTGATCTCTCACTGATTCTGTCTCCCTCTTATAAGGACCCTTGTGATTACACTGGGCCCACTCGGATAATCTCCTCATCTCAAGATCTTTAATCACACCTGCAAAGTCCCTTTTGCCATATCAGGTAAAACGGTCACAAGTTCTGGGGATTCGAAGGTGGACTTCTTTGGTGGGGGGTCGTTAGTCTACCACAATCATTAATATTTTTTATCAAGACTGGCTCACTTAACTCATTTAATCCTCATTAAACCGCATGAAGTAAATACTGTTTTATTCCCATTTGGAAACTGAGGCAGAGAAGTTCGGTAACTCTCCCAAGGTCACATAGCCAATAAGTGGTGAAGGAGCAATTCCAACACAGGCAGTTGGCTTCTGGGGTTTATATTCTCACACGGTGAAATATGTGAAGTGGCACAGAGCAAGCACATTAATGTTAGCTGTTATTATTATTATTTCTACAAAGATTAATATAATAACCCTTATCTCATATGACTCTTGTGAGAATTAAATAAATCAACGTGTGAAAATTACCAGACAGTGTCGGGCATACAGCAGGTCCTCAAATGATTACTTAGTTCTTTCCACTTCCACTTCATCTTTCTTTTCATTATGTTCTTTCCGCCCTCCCCAAGATGGCGCCATAGTACACACCCACTCTGTCCCACTCAAGATGGCGTCTATCGCGCTGGAAACCATAATGGACCTTCTAAAGATGGCACCAACACTAGCCATTTTTTACCTGCCCTCTTCAAAATGGCCTCAGCAGTTAGCGTCAATCCTGGTCACCCATGACCTTCTCAAAATGGTGGCGGACACATTTACACTGCATTATGACCGTCTCAAGATGGCGCAAGCGTCGCAAACTTAGCGTCGCTATCTTAACAGATACTTCCGGTTGCGCCGGAAGCAGGCATTTGAGGTTTGTGGGGAAGCTTGAAGTACTCGCTCCGAGCCGGGACACCTTGGCGCGACCATGGATCGGAAGAAAAAGCCTTTGGATGTCACGGCCTCCTCGGTGAGTGCGGGTATAGATGATACTACGGGCTCCGAGTTCTCTCCGCCCCCACCAGACAAGAATCCCGACCTAGCTTGTTTCTTCATTCGGGGTCCCAGACCTGGCCTTCTCTCAAATAGGAATCCAGACCGAGCTCCTCTCCTCAGACACGCACCTGAACCGTGTCTTTTCCCTTTAAGGAATCTCCTGGCCTTCCTCGGAGACAACCCGACCAGCCCTCCTTGCCAGCCTGGTCTCCCTTACGGGTCGGGGAGGAACGCCGGCCTGTGCTTGCTGTGCAAACACATTTCCCTTCCTGGTTCTCCAATCCAGAGACCAGGAAGGTCCTTTCAGAACTTTAGAGAGTGTGCCTTATTCCCCAGGATCCAAGATTGCCCAGCGTCCCCAGCCAGGAACTAAACAGTTGTTAAGGCAGCCATAGGATGCGGTGCCTGGGAGTTGTAAGGTCTGACAGGATGTAAGCGGCTTTTTAAAAGTTAACTACTTCTAGGAAAAAAATCTGTTTGGAGTACTTATTTGTGCCAGCACTTTAGATGCACTATCTTATTGACTCCTCCCAACTGCTTTAGGAGGTAGGTGCTAGTAATATCCCCGTTTTACAGACGATGAAATTGAGGCTCAGAAAGATGAAGTGGCTTTCCCCAGCTTACATACAGAATTCTCAGTGATAGAACTGGCTCCCTCAGTCTGGTTGACTCCAAAGCTGTTGCCTTTTCTATTGCATCAGAGCAAATTGCCTAATCTTTGATTTCATCTTAAATCTCCTGCAGGGTATTAAGATGCAAGGGGAGTACAAAGGAAAACATCTAAGTGTCCCAATATTTGAGCCCCTTTTCCTTATCTAATAGTGAAAATTGGCATTCGTTATTAACTCTGAGGATTAGGAACCAAAACCTATACATAATAAAGTTATCCTATCCCAACAGGTTAAATTAGCAATGATCATAAGTAGGAACACCATCTGGGAATTGATAATTTTCTGAGGATCTTCCTTTTAAAATTCAAAAGTAGTTGTAGAATAGGAAAATATGTGGCTAGAAAATTGATGTGGTTAAGAAAGCTTATAAGAAAAGGTGAAAGATTTTTTTTTGGTGTTTTTTTTTTTTAAAGATTTTTTTTTTTAATTGGGGAATTGGAGGATGGGAACAGCGCTGGGGAATTAGGGGAAGGGGAACAGACAAGTTGCTGT